ACCGGAGCACTTCAACCTTGGTTGACGGGATGTACTAGTCCGGGTGGTTCAATATATTCGTGTATCCAGTTGAAATCGCGAGACGGTTCGCTCTTATGTTTGTTACATTCCGGATGACAGTGATTTATGTGAGGGAACAGGGAACTGTTCCTTGACTCCTGGGTCTGCTCACAGCCAGGTTGGCACTGGATCATTCTGCCTGTGGTTGGCAATTGAGATGGACATCAAAATTCGTCGCATGGGCCAAGAAATTGTAGCAGATTCGAGACGAGCTAGTTCACAACGATGGAGACTTAGATACATCCGTAGCATACATTTCCGCCTTGTGTATGTAGTACGGCACCCGGCCGTTCCGATTCGGGACCTTGCGTCGGTAATCCTATCCTATCCTATCCATGTCCGGTACGGGTCTCCTTTTTTTTTTTGCTTGTCCTCATCTAAATTCTCCACTGTTTTCTCTTTCAGCTTCTTCCCTCAGAACGAGCGTGATGGCGACCGTTCTGGCAATTGCCCTGCTGGAACTGTTGTGGACAGGGAGGTCTCTCACCCCACTGAGTTTGACTTCTATCTCCAGGTGAGTCCTCTTTTCTTCTGCATAATTTTTTGCTTACCTTGATCCAGTTGCATAGAGGATTGCTCGGCAAGCCTATCACTTTCGGTCATCTCCTTCCTCATTGACCTCAATCCAGGAACTAGTCACCAGCTCATTATTCGGTCCTCTACAATGTGAGCCTTTCTTCCTTACCTGAAACACCCTCAACTGACCCTGCCGCAAGGAAAACAACTTCTCTGCTGATGCGCTGCAGTCGCTGTCCTTCGCCTTGTGCCACCTCTACGCCCGTTCGACACGTTCTGTGTCCATCCCAGCGCCTGTATACTGTTCGTCCGATTTCTCTCCTCATCTTCCTGTCTCTGATTATTCCTCAGATGCGCACATCGTCTGCTCCAGGGCTAAGAATCACTACGATCCGCTAGGGACGGTCGACTTTTCGTATAGTTTATTTCTTTACCCATTCTCACCTTCTCTGAATGCAACAAACTTAGGGATTCTGCCACGCAGGTCGACGAAGGGCAGGCCGCCAGTTCACTCGAGGCATTCAGGCGCGGGTTCAAGCCTCTCCACCACTCTCAGTCCCGCTTCATGTATTTCTCAGTGCGTGTATCCTTTTCCCCTCGCTTTGTCCCTGACGGTCTGCTCCAGTGATGTGTCGCTCAAAGTATGTTGATTTTTTTTCAAATGTGACCTCTTCTCGTGCATTCTGCACGCGAATCTATAGTTGCCATCTGCTCTCGTTTTTTTTTTTTTGATACTGTCGCAATCGAAATGCTTTCTTAGTCTTGCCTTGTCGGAAAATGTAGCGATTGCTCTTACCTTAGCTACTCATACTATCCATATATGGAAGGTGAGTCTTACGTCGCCACAGGTTATCCAGATCACTGGGTTTCAAGTGATTCGCGACAGGCGCAGGGATGCAGAAATTCCAACCATAAGTATGACCCGAGGTCCCCAAGCTGTTTGAAGAATTGCGAAGCAAACACTCGGACGCGGGTGCCACTCTCTCCGCATTCGAGTGGAACTTTCTCGGTAACTGCGAGATCCGATGGTGTATGATTTTTTTCATGAAGGGAGCTTCTTTCCTGGTATACGGATCCAGAGTCGCATGCCGAAGTATACCGCATCGAGCAAGAAGTGCTCACCTTGTTACGCCAAGGACAGGCCACGGATTTTCACTGTGCAATTGTTGTGACGGGCTGGTTTCCTCGTGCTGCTTCAATGAAATTTCGAGTTCATGTGTCTTTTCTTGTGCTTCGTGCCCACGGTCCCGACACGAAACCGCCAGGGCGAGGCAGGAATTCCAAACGTGAGTAGCCAAGCAAAGAAGAAAAAACTACAAACACCAAAGGAACTCCACGTCCAGCTGCCGCATTTTGAAAAAAAAAGTTACAATTGTTTCGTTACATCGTTTCGTGAGCGTCGTATTACAAAAAAATACATATCAGAATGTCCGCTCAAGGAAAAAAAAGTACAACACACATTCTTCCGATTTTCCACACCGCACTCAGTTTACAACCGTGCGCGCACCCTCCCAGCCGAGATCTTCACAGCCTTCAACCACTCGACCACCGCGCGCCCCACCGCCCCGCCGTCCCCCGTCCCGTCCCGCCACGCCCCCGCGCTGACAGCCGCCCGCCACCCCGCGAGCGGGTCGCCCGCATCCTGCATACCAACACCAACATCAACGCACTCCGCCGCCGCATCGACCCCCTCGACGAGCACCCAGTGCCCCGCGCACTGGAAGACGCGCTCGGCGAGGCGCGTGGGGGGGATGGCGCGGCGCTGGGCGGCGAGCGCGGTGGGGGGGATGGTGGCGTCGCGCGTGCCGTGCACGGAGAGGACTGGGACGGGGGGGAGGACGAGCGCGGGGGCGGGGGTGGGGGCAGTGGTTGCGTTTTGAGAACGAGGAAGTGGAGGGGACGTGAGGGATGGTATATCCGGGGCCGAGGCGGGAGAGGGGAGCCGGGTGTCCTCGGCGGCGGCGGAGGCGGGGGGAGACTCGGAGGGGCCGTCCTGGATGATGCGCAGGATTTCCATGCGGTCGGAACATGTTTCCTGCTGCGGCTTCAGGTGGGGTGGGTCAGTGCGAATATGAAAGCGGATGGCGCGGGGCAACTCACAATCCCCTGCAGCCTGTCCGCCCGCATGGCGCTGCGCGGAGGCGGGTGCGGCTCGCCGCGGACGACCTCGCCGAGGAGCGCGGCGCTGCGGCCTTCGTACGCCTTGACCGCGGGCTGGTAGTCGAGCTGGACGGCCTCGCGCGTGAGCTCGATGGCGTGCGCGAGCTGGTCATCGGAGGGGCCCGGCGGGGACGTAGACGCTGCAGCAGCAGTTTCCGCTTCCTCCGTGGCGCGTAACCGCGTCGTCCGATAGTAGTTCGTCGGGCCGGTCATTCCACGGGCGCGGAATGCGGCGCAGTAGAGCGCGCGCTCCGCCTTGGTTAGCATGGAGGGCAGTTCCGCGACGGCGGCGGGAGGAGGAGCCGTGGCAAGGAGGGCAGCGATGGCACCGCGGGGGGTGAAGTCCACTGGGGCATATGGCGGGGCGAAGGTGGTGGCGATGAAATACGGAAGCTGGGAGGGGGGTTAAGATCCGTGCCGGAATAAATATTCGAAGAAACTCACATTCGCCTCGATAGTTGGCGCAGCTGCCGGTGACGCCAGGTAGAGTTGGTACCCGAGGTTGGGCGCGCGTTCGACGGCATGTTCGAGGGACAGCAGGTTACGTCCAGGAGGGCTGTACGGTAAGCTCATCCTACGTCACATTAGCCTTGAAAACTTGGAGGAAATCGACTAGTCCGCACAAGACGAGACCCAGCACACGATCTGGATGCCACAACGCAAAGCGGCCGGCGATGAAGCTTCCCCAGTCATGCCCAATCACAACGGCTTGCTTGACACCAAGTGCGGTCAGCAGCGCCGCGAGATCGGCTGCAAGACGCTTTGTGGTGTATTGGGCCGGGTCAACGGGGGCATCGGACCCACCGTAGCCTAGCATGTCGGGCACGACGACGCGGAAGCCTGCGCGGGCCCAGGGACCTATTTGGTGCCGGTAGCCGTAGGAGACTGTTTGGGATGATGAGACTCGGTGCTTTGAATGTATTCAAAGGCGCCTTACGGTCAGGAAAGCCATGTAGACACAACAGCGTCGTACGGCCGTCCTTGTTGGCGTCTACAAAGGCCCAGTCGTGTCCACTGAGTAGCTGAAGCTGGGGCATCGTCGTCCGGGTCAAGGAAAGGATTTTCCCACACTAAATAGAGACCTGCTGGTCTCCATTAATTGCGACACTACATATGCTGTCACCGGGGCCCGGGGTTGTTGACTTGTTGTCATTCACGCACGGCGTGCGTGGAGCTGGCTTCGAGGAAGTCGAGGAAGGAAAGAAACAGTCAACATCTGATTTTCACACGGCACGAATCGCTGCAGAAAACAGCTTGCATGACACGGAAACACGGAAACGGATGAACGGCGAACGGAGGTAAGTACTTAAAGTAGATTACACGGCCGGTCCCGCTGGCAGCGGCGGTGATGTGATAAGACACGGGATCCGGGACCCACAACGTATGCGACATCCATCCTCGCTGGAAGGCCAGGCCACTTGCTTCGTCCGACTCGTCACTCGCAGGTTTTGACCGAACCGAACAGTGTCTTCAAGTGCTCTGAGCTGTCGGCTCCATTCCATTGCAGGGCGACGTCATTCGTACTCGGACAGACACCGCCGCTTGAAACCGAGTCCTTCAAATCCTCGAAGAGACCCGGGTTGTCCGTCAAGGACTTGCACGGCGCCGCTCATCTTTTGCGACACCGAACTTCGCTTGCGGCCGCTTTGGTGCTCTGATGTTCGTCCGTGTCAGCTTGCAACTCTTCGGCGTGTCGGTCTGTGCTATCTCCTCTGCAGGCCACTGCGACGCCTCTTCTCAGTCTGGAAACATGCGATTATCTCATACGCCACCTCAAGCCTTGATATTTATCGGTGTAGGAGCCCCCTTTGACCTGGAGACTCGCCGCTTTCTTGACTCTCCGCTTTCACGGGCATCCTTGTTTTATTGTGCTCCTAAATGTTTACGAAGGCTACGGACTCTCCATGGGAATGAATATCAATCGTGGTTAGCTATATCCAAAAAATGAATCGACATGTTTACAGATCACCCGGCCCCGGATCGAACAGGGCACTTCTGCAGAAGGATTCTACTCTCTGTAGAAGAAATCCCGCGGATGCATGCCATATGCCACTGGGTGTTCCTTCAAGCTTTCAAATTCGAACTTAGTGGTAGGTATGCTGCGCTAGGATCAGTCGGTGTAACTGTGTGCTGGTTTTTGGTTGTGGATCAATATCAACTCACACCGCCGTCCTTCTCATATGAACACTTGGGCTCACCATGAGAATAAGCAGATATGTACTTATGCAACATAAAGAAAAGAGAAGATCTCGTTGAGGCCACTATCACTCGACCCCGAATCGAACAGGGACCTTCTGCGGAAACATCTTTCGAGCACACATATCCTGCAGACGCACACCATGTGCTACCGAGTGTTCCAAACCACTCTTTTCCACTGGGTATTGACCATCTGGAGTGCTAGTGCTGGGTGAACCCGAGTTGATTTTGGCTGGATTTGAACTCGAACTTCACTCGAAAGGCAGAACTGTCAACCTCACCTTCACAGCGAACGGGATTTCGATAACGAAGAGTGAGCAAGGAGGCAGAGGGATTTGTTTCTGCGCACAAAAAAAATTCAAGAACAATGGCAAGTCACCCGGCCCCGAATCGAACGGGGGTCTTCTGCAGAAAAGTCGATCATCCCGAAATCATGCAGACACGCGCCACTCGCTACCGGGTGTCTCTGCAAGCTTTCGATCGTTCGATATGAGGGGTCCCGATATGGTGGGAGGAGTCGGAGTCTTTGGTCGAATTTGTTCTCAAGGAAAATCGATACTACAACCTCGGTCCATCTCGAGCCTTGTTAGCTGGCCACAGAGCTGTTTGCAGATTTGCACCACGTTTCCAAAAGCCCGATGAATGTGAAAAAAATCGAGGAGAGAAAAAAGCAGTAAGGGGAGTCGGACCACCCAACCCCGAATCGAACGGGGAACTCCTGCGGACGGAGTCGATTTCACAAGAAATACACACCCGCAGATACACACCATGTGGGTGTTCCTACAAGGTTTCGAACAATTGGTAGGTAGGTATGTATGCTGCGCTGGGATCAGCCAGTGTAACTGTGTGTTGGTTTTGGTTGTGGGATAATATCAATATCAAGTGAGAACGCTCACTGTCCTTCCCGGGCCCACAATATTATGTAGATTTGGATTCATCGTGAGAAGTCAAGTTTACCGAGCAACTATGCAGTATGTACCAAAGATCCAAAAGAGAAAAAAAGTCAATCACTCGACCCCGAATTGAACAGGGACCTTCTGCGGAAACTTTTTGATTCGATGTTTCGACATGTATATCGTGCAGACGCACACCGTGTGCTACCGAGTATTTCTTTTCCATGGGGTATTGGCCATCTGGAGGGCCAGTGCTGGGTGAAGCCGAGTTTTGGCCGAGTTGGTTTTGGTTTTGGTTGGATTTGATCTTGAACTTGATCCGTCGACCTCGCCTTCATAATGAGCGAGATTTTGATAACGAAGACTGAGTCTTCTACGCTTTCCTGGCTGAAGATCACTGCCATATAGACGCGCACAATGCACTAATGGGTGTCTCTACAAGCTTTCATTCGTTTTATACGTGGATAAATGATGGTTGAAGTTCCAAATGGTTCAATTTGTTCCTAGATAGAGAGTCAGAGACAAATTGAGGCAATGTGAGATAGAAACCTGCTCGCTGACGAGATAACTTGTGTGTTGTCAATGGATCACATGGAAGATAAAGTGTAATAGTATTACGACGGCGTTGTTCAACCGAACTCATTTGAACTTTCTTAGAGCCTCCAGTTTCATGGCTCGAGTTTTCGAAAATTCATTCAAAGGTACCAAGAAGGGCACTGCGATTCCAAATACAGCAGCTAAACGCACAGGTCAGAAACCGCAGCTTTTGAACTCCCCCAAAAGATTGCATACAGTGATTCAGTGAACAAAGCCCCCAACGTCAATCAATGCGGGCTTGTCCAGTAACGCGAACCAGCTTCCGTTTCTCACAATTAGATAATATTATATCAGTGGGATGGTGGTGCGGGATGAGGTGAGAAAGGCGACGCTCCGCCGTATATACATTAACATTCAAGCCCTAGCATGTTCCAAGATCGAAGGTCAGTCTGACATACTTTGAAAGTTTGAGACGCCCGTGGTACGGCCCCGAGTAAAAGATCGCAGTGTACCTCATCTGGACCCACTGCAAAAACTTCCCAAGACAACAAAGGCCAGCAGCGTCATCAACGCAACAAACCAAAACGGTGGGTCGATCTTGTTCAGAAGCGACAACCAGCTGTCTTGGCTCACAGTTCGGCCATAGAAGACGCGCTGCGCCCATGCCGCGGATGTCTCTGGAAAATTCCTAGTTCAGAACAACCTCATTGTAAAATGACTACGGACCACACCTTTCATAGGCCCTGTCGGGCCCACGCCAAAGACACCGAGGAGTGGGCGGAGAAGCCAGGAATCGGGTATGAGGGTCACTGCCCCCCAGAAGAGCAAGCCTTCGAGCAAGTCGGGATGCTGTACGACGAGGTCGCCTAATTGCGGTCAGCGGATGCGTATAGATGGAGTATTAGAGGGCCCACCTATCAGCACAACCATGAATTGAATTGCAGGCCTCATGGTCTTGTCCCAGTGGACTCGCGCGTGCTCCTCGTCCATCCCATACTTGGCGCATGCCGCGACGAGGGCCTCGCCAGCCCTTTCCAGCGCCGCCCTAACTACCATCTGCCGCCCTTCGTGCCCTAACCTGCGATCCGGCGCCGGGAACATCCGCATGAGCTCCTCCAACACTTTCTCAAATGCGGGCTCCAGATCCTTCACCATATCGGCGAGGTATATGGGCTCAGTGTCGGTTTTGGCCCGCTGCGCGCTCAAGGCATACAGCTCCCTGTTCAGCACCAGCGCACCGTGTACAATCTTTCTCATCGACTCTTGCAGCTCTACAATCTTCTGTTGCACATCCTCCGATTTCTTCGAGGCCGCCTGCGTGATGAGATTCTCACTGTAGCTCTGTGCCTTCTCGCCCATATCGCGTGCGCGCTGCCAGAACTCCTCCGGATTGACGTTCTTTTCCTCGAGCGATGAGGACCGCTGAGCAGCGCTAACGAGGGTGCCAGGGAGCGCTACCGCCAAGAATACCGGCAGATCGAGGGCTGCGGCACCGGGGCGTCCTTCGAAGAGAGAAGAACTGAAGATGAATGCTAGGAGCAGAACATACGATGTCTTGAGCAGCATGATGGTGCGGTGTGCGGAGAACACGGCGATGCACTGTTTATAGCGTCCGATTCAGCACGTTCCCAGATCGAAGGTCTATCATCCTTTTTTTTCTCAAGCTTTAGACGCCCATGAGCCATGGTAAAAAAAGTTCAACGAGCGCCGATGAGTAATTAGTGTAGAGTCAAAAGGGAAAAGGAAGGCTTTTTGCAGGAAAATACAACCTGTTCGGATGGATGATTCAGGAGCCCGGCGCGAAGCACCAGACGGCGTCTTGCAATAGAGCGGCCTTTAGATGCAAGTGTTTCTCTCCGCTCAGGTTGTGTTTTCCGGCAGAGATTAGATGCTAGGTTGATTGAGCGAGATTCCGGGGCCGGAGAGTGACATATCTCTGAAGGCGAATGCAAGAGAAGCGTGTGAAAATCGGAACAACGATTCGAAATGTTTCTTCCCACGGTTGATTTTCATTGAGATTTCGTTTGCGTGGCTGCTCGTGGCGTGCTCCTTTTGTATTTCGCTCCAGGCATGTTTCCAGTGAGTCATTTAGTTGGGACTCACAATGAATTTAGAGTTCCCGAATATACAACCTCGTAGTAAGCATACGGCGCGCTGCAGCTGTTGCCTTCATTCCTTGCAGGTTCAGCAGAAAGCGGTCTTTAAAATTGGATACCCAGAAACCAGGCAGAATGTTATAGGCGTACCTCAACCAGGCCTGTGTAGATCAGCCTGCCCACGCTGAGGGAGTTGAGCACCCCGCCCACGACAGACGCGGTGGTACTTTCGAGATTGTACGTATTATAATAAGATACCCACACATCCCTCTACTCGGACAGACACCGCAGCTCTGCGCTTGAAACCGAGTCTTCGGTCAAAATTCAAATCCTCGAAGAGTCCACTTGGATACATCATACACCTCATCCGGATTGTCCGTCAATGACTTGCATGGCACCGCTCATCTTTTGCGAAATCAACCCGGCTCGGTGCTCTGATGCTCGTCCGCGTCAGCCTGCAACTCTTCGGTGCGTCGGCCTGTGCTGTCTTCTCTGGAGGCCAACACGCCGCCTCTTCCGGAAACCATGCGTTGTCTCACAGGCCCGTGCACCTCGAAGAAATGATACTTATTGTTGTAGGAGCCCCCTTTGACTCGAAAACTCGCTTTCTTGGCTCTCCACTTTCACTGGTATACTTGTTTTATTCTGCTCCAAAATGTATACGAAGGCTACGGACTCTTCAAGGGAATGAATGTCAATCGTGATTAGCTATGACCAAAAATGGTCGACACGCCTTTGAATCACCCAGCCCCGAATCAAACAGGGCATTTCTGCAGAAGGAATCTGCTCCCAAGAAATACGCACCCGCAGATGCACACCATGTGCCATTGGGTGCTCCTTCTAGTTTTCGAACTTGAACTTAGTGGTAGGTATGCTGCGCCGAGATCAGTCAGTGTAACTGCTGTGTGGTTGTGGATTGATAAATATTGACTCACACCGTCCTTCTTATAATATGAACATTCGGAGTCATCATGAGAAAATTCAGTTTACCGAGGGCACGGTGAAAGTGCCGCTGCGTGCCGCAGACTGCCGCAGCACAAATTTAGATTGCCGCAGTCAGCGGCAATACTGCCGCAGCGTGTCACACTGCCGCAGTGTCACGCAATTATTGCCGCATGCACTGCAGCAATCTTACTGCTGAGCCGTAGCAATATTCTCTGGGATAAAATAGCTTTGTTGGTATCCCTGGATACTGTCCTAGCTCAATATATGCAACACTACGGCCTGCTGATCGACATGAAAGTCATCGGAATTCTCAACACTAATCCATATCGAGGATGTTGAATTTTCACAAGTAGCTACAATTACGTGGACACGGGGAAGCTTCTAACTCGGAACTGAATTCTCCAGTCGAAGGAAAAGACGGGTCGGTGCCGGCCCGTTTCAGTGCACCATTGAAAGTGGCACAAGAAGGTCACGAACTTGAAAGATATGTACTCCGTGCATGGTTAGGCATAATGGGGAGAGGAATATGCCACTCAACCATCTTTCAACTCACTATCCGTAGCCCAACTGACTTCTTTCTCATGTCCCAATGAAAATTTTCTTCAGTTGTAAGGTATCGATCAACGTAGGGTCCATAGAGACTTGGACAGCAGGGTAGGTATGCTGCGAGCGCCAGATACCTACGAC